AACTCCCTTCCGCCTGACAAAACATTATCATTTTTTGCTTCATTCTAAGATACGATACGAGCGACGAACTTGTTTTCACAAAGCTACCCCACTCTCTGCGTTTGTTGTTTTTGTTAATGGTTGATAGCTGAAGGTGTTCGATACGACTCAGGTTGCAGCATTGCAGCGTTAAACATAGAACAATTTATCGTTAGCGAGTCATAAATGCCGTCGTAACAATAAAGCAGCACAGCAAAAGAAAAAGTCAACTATAACAGCAGCAGCCGAACTACAACACGAAAATCCATAAAAGACGACACAACTAATAAATAGTAAAAACTGAGACGCTATTACATACATACATACATCGTTATTCGGGCTTGGTTATTAGAACGATGCGTCGGCAACTTGCCACTCAGCAAAGAAATTCCACAGGAAATATTGCAGATTCTATGACTGCACTTTCGTCGAGCTGGCTGCGGGGTTGCGGTGTGCTACTTAACAATCCACTCCCAACTCCACACCTTTCCGTTCAGTCAATTTACTCAAGCCATACAAACCCCTTTTCCTGCCTTAATGGATCAAAAATAGTTGCTTGCTTTGCCTTTCGCTCTGATCGCTTCTCTTGTTAAAGTCAATTCATTCGCTGGTTATACCAGTTTTCACCTCAAACAACTTTTGAAGTGGTCAAAAAATTGTGTGTGTGTGTGTGTGTGTGTGTGGGTGTGTGTGTGAGAGAGAGATCGAGAGCTCAAGTTACACATTAAAAGGTAAGTATGGAATTATCAGATATGCAACACAAATATATAATGGATATAGGTTTTTGTTATCTTAGAAATATAGCATTTTCATTTTTAGGGGTTTAGCTGTGAGCGCACATATTACAGCGTTTGCATTACATATGCACATGTGTAGCGACATTGATGCTTAATAATGAGCACTCGTGGTGAATAGTACACACAGTTGAGGGCTCTTAATCATAATAATTTCTCTTTCACTGTCCACATATAAATTCGTACAAATCGTAACAACATTGAAAAGTGACACACATACACACATCAATATTGAAAAAAATATTTAAAAATAATTTTATAAAAAAATTAGTTGTTGAAAATATGCCATCTCAAAAAAAAATTAAAAAAATTCACAATGGTGGCTCTGGGTATTGCGCATTATTTTAGTATATTATTATGGGTTGCATTCTACAATAATTTGAGTTATGATTTTTTCTTAAACCGAATTCGACTTCGCGAAGTTGAGAAAAACTAGTACATTAGAAATTTAAAAGACTTTAACTTTTTTTAATTTTTTTTTGTAATTTTTTTGAGTAGTGAAGAATTTTTCAAGATAAAAATTTGTTTAATATTTTTTCATAGAGAATTTTGATGTGCGATTTTTTTTTAATTTTTTCCTCGCCCAATTCTCGAGATATTTGAAAAACTATTAAATTGATTTGTTAAAGTTTTTAAATAACGTATTAATATTTTTTGCAAATATTATTTATAAAAACCAATTTTATAATTAAAAGAAAAATCCGATTTTGGAGGTATTTACAATTGGATCTAGCCCACATAATATTTTGCCTAACTATGCTGGTACAAGTCTTAAAATATGCTAAATTTTATATATCTTATGGTAAAATAGTCCCGGTTTTTTTTATGTGGAGCGTGATGCACCCTAATATACATATATAAATAGCACCGGGCAGAAGTGTTGTAGTTTCTATTGAGGCTATCAACCAAAGTTCTATTAAACGCAATATTCGAGCGTGACGAGACATTTTGTCGTAGAACATTTCCAATCCTCCACTTCTGCTGTTACGGCTTCTGTTAACCCTTTTTTGGAAAATGGCAGCTACACGGTAAAAATTCTCCAACGTATTTCAGTGATGCTTGACACATAGATAAGTAGCTTATAATGGCTGCGTTTCTTTATACATTTCGGATAATCCCATTTCACAGCCGGAATAAACAGAATGCGTTTGAAATGTACGTCAACATATCATCAGGAACGTTCTAAAGAATAAATAAACAAAAAAGTTTATTCCAAACGTTCAGAATAAATAAAGAAATGCAGCCAATGTAAATATTTTTTCAAAAGGGTTGCCAAATTTTTAAAATTTTTATGTTTAATAAAATATTTCAAAAACATGGGTTTTAAGGGGAGGGGTTTCAAAGCGCTTAAATTCGAAAATATTTTTAAGGAGATCAAAAACGATTAATTTCTCAAGTATCATTTACGAGCGTGGCCACCTACACAAAAATTTAAAGTCATTTCAATTGACAAGTTTCTTCTCTTCTTCTTTTTTGGCGCTGTAACCGCCTACGCGATTTTGGCCGAGTTCAGCAAAGCACGCCAGTCGTTTCTGCTCTGTGCCAACTGACGCCAATTGGAAACGCCAAGTGAAGCCAAGTCCTTCTCCACCTGATCTTTCCATCGCAGTGGGGGCCTCCCTCTTCCTCTGCTACCACCAGCGGGTTCCGAGTTGAATACTTTCAGAGCTGGAGCGTCGGTGTCCATTCGAACGACATGACCAAGCCAGCGGAGCCGCTGTATTTTAATTCGCTGCACTATGTCCATGTCGTTGTAAAGCTCATACAGCTCATCGTTCCATCGTCTGCGGTACTCGCCGTCGCCAACGCGTAAAGGACCGTAAATCTTCCGCAAAATCTTTCTCTCAAACACCCCAAGAGCCGCCTCATCGGATGTTGTCATTGTCCATGCTTCTGCGCCATATACCAGCACGGGCATGATGAGTGACTTATAGAGCGTGGTTTTCGTACGTCGAGAGAGGACTTTACTCCTGAATTGCCTACTCAGTCCAAAGTAGCACTTGTTGGCAAGAGTGATTCTACGTTGGATTTCAATGCTGACATTATTATCGGTGTTAATGCTGGTTCCCAAGTAAACGAAATTCTCTACTTTCTCGAAATTGTAACTGTCAACAGTGACGTGGGTGCCAAGGCGCGAATGTGCTGACTGTTTGTTTGATGACAGGAGATACTTCGTCTTGTCCTCGTTTACCACCAGACCCATTCGCTTTGCTTCCCTATCCAACTTGGAAAAGGCAGAACAGACTTCGCGGTTTTTGTTAGCGATGATGTCGATGTCATCGGCATAAGCCAGCAATTGCACGCTCTTATAGTAAATTGTTCCTGAGCGGTTCAGTTCTGCAGCTCTTATTATCTTCTCCAACATCAGATTAAAGAAGTCACATGAAAGGGAGTCGTCCTGTCTGAAACCCCGTTTTGTGGTATTGCTCAACGTCATTTTACACAGCCGTATGAGTTTTGAGGGGATGCCAAATTCAGGCATAGCGGCGTATAGGCAACTCCCTTTAGTGCTGTCAAAGCGGCTTAAATTGACAAGTTTAATAAAGCTTTATTTACAAAATGTTTTTAAGAGGGATGCCACCTGTTTTAAGGAAGTTGTATCTACATATTTCGAAAACATTTGACAATTAGGAATTTTTAATTCAATAAATTTTTGAATGAGTGTGTTTGTTACTGCTTTTTTGAATAAAAAGATAGCTTACGAGCCGAATTAACATATATAATTTCCTTAAGGGCTACCAGCTGCTGAAAAAGTGAAATTCTTTTTATAAAAAATATAAGTTCAAAGAAATTTTACAATACGGCTAACAATCGAACAAAATTTAAAAAAGCTGACTACCATCTACTTAACATCAAACTCATTTTTTCTTAAGTTAAATAAAGTACCGTAATATGGATGTCAAACAAAAGAGATTTAAGAAAGCTTTGTTTTGTACAAATTCTTACAGGGGTTAGCCACCGGTTTAAAACTCTAATTGAATTCAATCAATAAGTTAAACAACAAAACAACGTCAAGTTAAAAAAAAAGAAGATGATTAAGAAGATTTTATTTCCGAAGTACTTTCGAAAGGGCTTGCCACCTGGTAAAAAGTCTAACTAAATTTAAACAGTTACAACTAAGTCGAAGTCGAAGCAGAATATGTACACCTGGACCCCTAAAAAACTATAAAAGCGGTCGATTTTCAATAGTAACTGGCTCTCCTTGTGTTGTGTTAAGCGCATAACCACTTCAAAGTTCGCTTCTTAAGTCTTTCGTTTGTTGTATCAAGATTGTGTGCAGAGTACTACATATGTATGTTGTTAGAAAGCCACACAAAAAAGTAAATGCGCCTGGGCCACACTGGGGAAGTGAAACTTACGTAACATATCTATTTTGTCACATAACCAATATACACACATATGTACATCTGCTTTTGCTTAAGGTTATATTTTTTGTCTTTTTCTATCTAGATCAATGTTCGTTCTAACTACATTTATGTTATTCTGTTTTCATTTATCTTCATTTTTGCCTTTGATAACAAAATCGATAGTAATATTCAAAAAATATCGACAACATACCCGATAAAAATATCGATAACAAATTCGATGAAAAATTCGATAATAATTTCGACAGCAATATCGATAATACTATTGGTAACAAAATCGATAAAAATATCGATAACAAAATCGATAAATATCGATAAAAGATATATAAATATCGATAAAAAAAATCGATAAAAAAAATCGATAAATATCGATAACAAAATCGATGAAGATCGATAATAAAATCGATAACAATATCGATAAATGTCGATAACTAAATCGATAAATATCGATAACAAAATCGATAAATATCGACAACAAAATCGATAACAAAATTGATAAATATCAATAACAAAATCAGTAGCAAAATCGATAAAACCCCGATAGCCATGTTTTTTTGAGATTAGGAAAAAGTTCTGACGTGACGGATCTAAAACCACTTCAGATCATTTTTAGAACTGTTTTTGTGTTCTCTTAATCAACTTTACAGCTCAGCTGGTTTTCTCGTTTCAAAGGAGACACTACTTTCTTTCTCTTTACTTATAAACAGCTGTTAGCATAAATTCACCACAGACGATAATTCTATTTACTTTACACCTTTTTATGAAACAGACAAAAGGCAACAACAAACCAGTGATCGAAACAAACTCGTTCGAAACTCTACATAAATACAAGCATATATACACATGTAGATGCATGCATCCACTCACATACATATACATATATTCAATTTGTGGCCACAGCAGCACCAGCTTATACGACTTCAAGACAGTTTCATTTTACCTGCGCTCCAGCGCTGAGTGGACTCTTTTGTGTTGCTGAGTGGACGTGTCTGGCGCGATAAAAACCGACGGAACAACCACGGAATAAAAAATTTATTTACATGCAACTTTATATTAGCAAAAATATATTTAATAGACATTTTGCTTTGTGTCGATTACGTCTACGTGAATTTATAGATATATAAAAACCAAGAGTTTGTGCTTACTGTGAAGAAAAATTTCGTACTTCATCAAGGAAAACCAACAATAATACCAACAACAAGGTTATAAGCAAATGTATGAGCATAAGCGCAAAATCAAATTTATAAATATGTAGTGTATTTATTATAACTAAGTGCATGAAAAAAATGTTGCTACAGCTGGAAGAAAAAATTATGAAAAAACAACAGCTAGCAGTAGAAAGGGGAAAAGGAATAATAGTTTAAAACAAAACATGAAAGCATAAACTGCGATTGATATAGCAGCAAAGTGAATAAGTGAAACAACGTACGGCAATCGTACGAAGTCAACGAAGGTGCAGTGATCATGGTTTCTGAGTAAATTTTAAACGAATATTAGTTTTGGTGTAGTATGCGTGGAAGTGTGTAAATAAAAAGGTGTGCCTGAGGGGTCTGGTATCTTCGTGGATGTATTTGTGGTGCGACCGCTGCTGCGCGGAGAAAATATTCAAATGAGCACAAAATTGTTGTATCCGCACGCAACAAATTCGACAATAGCACAACAACCACTGTGTAATAACAAAAACATAATTGTATGTATTGTGCATTATCAACAAAATTTTATTAAGTGCACCTTGTTGGATTTTTTTTTTGCAGAATTAGAGTGATTTAAAAATTAACCTAAAAAAACGAAATCCCTTTCGCAATGTAAAGTTTTTAAAACCAAATATGAAAAAGTTTAAATTTTATAAAAGTGTTACCTTTGAAAAGTAGCGGTTCTAAGCATACTGCTGATCACTTGTATGCATGTATGTATGTATGTATGTTGTTACAGCTATATGCAGTGCTCCAATAACAACGAGGCAATTAGTTGCGCAGGCGTGGAGCACTTTTATGGCTTCCCATAAGCCAGATTAAATGCCAAGCAAAAAAAAAACAGTGATCATGAAATAAAAGATACAAGTTTGTGTGGATACTCAATTTTTAAACTAAATAAAGTGCACGCATATGTATGTTATTAGAGACAAATTTCACTTCACTAAGTATAACGGAGTAGTTAACTGTAAATAATTGTCGAGCCAGAGAATTTGAATTTCTCATTTTTTTTTGTACAAAGTGCAGAGGGCCAAGAAATTTTGAATAAAATCGATTTAAGTACCTTTTCCTGTTAATGAATGTTACATAATAAAAGTAGTTGAACGAAATTATAGAAATTCCTCAAGACGGGGAAAAGATTAAAAAAGGGAAAGTAATAAAAAAAATTTACCCAAATTTATTATTTTTTTATTTTAGAAAAAAATTAGGTATACCGCTTTACAGCCCATTAAATTTCATTACACGCTTCAAGCGACTAAGAATACAAAATAATTTTCAATATTTTTTTTTTGCTAGCACTGCTGGGATATTTTTTGCAATTTACGGTCTAAATTTCCTGCTTTTTAATATTCTTATGGGGAATAGTGGAAATCAATATGATCCTCACATTTTAGACATACAATGTGCTTGGCAGTTTTATGTAAAATACGACGGAGATTATTTTTGTGGAAACTCTTAACCCTCTAACTCCTCAATAGGTGGGCATTTTTTTTTTTGTTTTGATATAACGGGTTAAAATGTTTAACAAAAATATTTGCCATTCAATTTTACTATAAGTCGCCGAATAAATCAAAGCTCAAAATTCTTCTTAAACTCCAACAATAAGTCGGAACTGAAGGTGTGCTTAAGGGTTAACTTTGTACATATTCCGAATCGGTGCTAAAATCATCCAATAAACTGGAAACTCTATATGCATATATATTAAGGTATAAATGATATGTAATATTTTCTAAAAAAGGCCCATCTATTTATGAGTTAGTTGGGTTGACCCCGAAACTGAAATTTAGACCTTAAATTTCAAATCTCTGATAAACCTGCATATATTTTATTTGCTTCCCTCTGTGCACAAGCACCCCCTAAAAAAATTCGCTCGTCAACTTACAAATCGCCGACACACGTATATGATTCTTACCCACTTTACCAGAAATCATTGCACGAACTTGGCTTTTTTGGAAAAAATTTGATTTTGTCGCATAGTGTTATGTTAAAATATAATCCATATATTGCAAAATATAGTTTTATACTTTTATATGGCGCAAACAGTTGTTGTTAGTTTGGGCCAATCAACGCCGTCGAAAAGCTAGTATTTCGATCTTCCTTGTTGTCCTTTGCCCATGAATACAGAGCTATAGATCTTGCGCAGAATAGTTCTCTCGAAAGCCCCCAACCCCTACTCACCTTTGTTCGACATCGTCCATATAAAAGTAAGAGGCAGATCATAAGTTTTTATATCACAATTTAGGTTCGTCAATAACTGCCACTAATTTTCAATTTCCTACCGAACCCTACCTAGTATCCATTAGTAAGAGCTATCCTTCACTTGAACTGCCATTATTTGTGGTGGTAACACTAGAATATAGGTAGACGAAGTACTTCAAAATTGTAACTGCCAATAGTGAAGTGTGTCCCAATATGCGAGGATCCTTTGGTTGTTGTCGGAAAAAAGCTCATCTTTCCTTTGTTCATCGCCAGAGCCTCCTTCTCTCAGCTGTAAAATGCTGCGCCAAAGTATTCCACATCAGATTGAATATATTGCAAGAAAGTAGTCGCATGAAAGCTCGTTTCGAACGAACAGCTTTTTAGGCCCCAAACAACACTATTAATGCCTAATCGACTGATTCATGGAACTCTTCAGTGCTATACTTACACAGTTCCGCCGATAGGGACCCAAAATGGTACGAACATCTCCGCCCTGTCAGTTTTTTGCAGCCGTTTTTAACAGCTTCGGGGCCGATATATTTTTAATCCGCATTACTGCTGTTCGCAACTTGACTTGTTCGTCCCGATACACTCATCCGAATTTATGTGTTTGTTTCTCCATGAACCAGACCTGGTCTTTAAGATATTTCACTTGTGCTTCATTTCCTTACAGAATTTTCGCCAAGCGTTCCTACCTACCAGCACCTTCAGATTTTCGCATTCACATCTTTCTGTCTCTCTTTCCATCTTCACAAAAGGCGTCTCTCTTCTGCTCCTGGTATAGGTCAATTGTAGCTCGCATCGCTATTGAGCTTCCGCACACTAGAAAGCTCAGTCAACTTGAGCAGTCCACCACTTGAAAGCACACTCAACTGGGCAGTCGACCGAAAACAGGTTTCTGTTTTGTATACATGCACTGCCCTTGATTGTTTTAGTGCATGTAATAAACGCAACGAAACAGAAAATATTTTGTCTTCGCGGACTGAAATGGGCGAGGTAAAATCGCAAAAAACCGGTTTTAGGCAGACTGACCAGTCCATTGTGCGGAGGCCCATTGGGTATAGGATGACCTGGTACCCTGTGGTGCATTTCTCTGCGGCGACGGCGCGGAGGTACCTGCTGTTTCTGTATGTTTTTTTTTTTTTCAAATAGAGATGGAAAGCATCGAAAGTCTTAACCCCGTCAGTGTGAAACTTTAACCCACTAACACCACCTCTTCTCATCCGGTTTCCCCCCTGGTACTACCGTCAAGTATTTCTTCAGGAGGCGGTTTGAGCAAATTGCTCGAAGATGTCTAGGTCGACATTGTAAGTCATCTCGGTACGAACGTCGGGTTCTATGTTCATAGTCTCAGTCTGCACTTTGTACGTGTATCTCTAAACGCTGTGCTCGTTTGTTTCTGCGTCGTTTCTTTTCTATATAGGGGCTTCTTATTTTAGGTGCATATCCGCTAATCATAGTCCTCATTTCATTTGCGGGCCTGTCTACGTGTGTGGAGACTTGTTACGTTTTTCCTGACACTCCCCCGTCAAAGCTGCCGGAGCTATGCAAGGGTTGCTTAGCGCTTTCCCCAAATAGTTTCTTCTTGTTACTCATAGTATGCAAACGGGAATAGAAGTGATTGAGTATAGCCGCACTGTACACATTTTCATAAGTACGAAGCAAGACACCTTGTGTGACTATTTGATTTTCTCTTGATTCCTTATAACGTTTCAATTGTGGGTTTGCTTGGTTTAAATGCCTAGAACGTATCTGCGTGTCTTTCGCTGGTATGACACGTACCTAAACTCCTGCTCTGGATTACTTTGGCATATCTCAGGTTTCAGATAAGCTCTTGGGTAGTTTTAGGCTGGCTTGTTCAGCACCGCGGCTCTACTATGGTTACAAGCAACCTAGGTACGGGGGATACAAGCATGCTTCTGAATATTATGAGGGTCTATATGGGGTCTGTTTCTTCATTTTTAGCATCCTCCTTGAACGGTGAGGTACACAGAAGACATTCAGCGCCATGTCTGGTATTAATGTTAATGGATTTCACCTGCTGTGTGCCATCGTAGTGGGCTTTGTCTGCCACTCGAGCCCGTTAGTGTTGTAGCTGTAGTGGAGATAGAGTTTTATTGCTTCTTTCAGCCTTTTTTGACAAGACCAGGGGAGGCTGAACTGGTCCGGAAGTTACATGCAGAGTGGGCTTTTCCAAAATTGGTAGAATTATTATTATTTTTTTTTTTTGAGGGTTTAGTTTTAAAGAAAACTTGTTAAGGTTTAGTCGGACGTAATTTTATGTCGTTAAGATATACAGGTATAGTTCTGGTAACATTCCGCTATATGGCTGTGGCTGTAAACAGAGTTTAGCGTATTTTTTAGACATAGGCTTAGAATAAATTTTATATAAGCTTATTTGTTAGTGTTAGTTGTTTTTCGGAAAGGATTAGAAGCAGTGTGACCCAGTTAGCCTTTTTGAGGCAAAAATTTAGCAATTATATTTTTGCTCTAGCCTTGAAATTTTAGGTCTTGCTTCGTGGGTTTTTTACTTTTTCATGCGTAACTTTCAGCTTTTTAGTACTCTGATAAAAAAAAAAAAAATTTTATTGATGCATTAAAAAAATTTTCCCTCTTCGTTATCATTTTTCTGTCCTGAATTTTTTTGCTAATTAGACCAATCTTTTTTAATTCGAGCAGCGAAGATGTAAGATTAATTGAATTGCAATGGTTAATTCTTAGAGCAAAATATATGCAAATATGTTACTTCTGCGATAAAACCAATCAACAAAATGAGGAGCTCTTGTTAATCCACACTTTTAGGCAGGGACTTTTCAGTAAGAC